ATAGCAGTTGTGAAGTTGGAATCCAACACCGGGTACTTGCATGGCCCTCCAAGAGCGTCATAGTCGAGCCTTTCAGTTTCTGAAATCCACGCTAGCGCGTAGTCAGAGTCGAAGCTGAAAGCGTTCCTGACCCTCTCCTTAACCTCGGAAATCCATTCCCGAAGCTTATCAGCTGTTGGTTCGGGAGGCAACGTGATAGTGTTGCACTTGTGATGGTACCGATCCTTGTCAGCAACAGTCGAAATCAGGGCCCCTATCGGGGTACATGACGTGATCCTGCAGCTCTCACACAACCTAGCTGGCGGCGGACAGCACACGTCACAAGCCCTCATTCCGCAACCAACACATGGGACCAGAGGAGGGCCAGTAATGGGGACTCTGAGGCCACATTTGGTGCACTTGTCCCTCCCGTCATCCCCCCTGATTGATTCAGGAAGAAGACCGCCATCTCCCGGCCTACCGGCCCCATTGACACTGTAGCCATGACACGGACTCGCTCCGGGGTTACTGGCATGCCCAATGCTCGCAGGGTAACCCGGGGCAACGCCTTGCTGGCTAACGCCAGCCCCGACGCGACACCACCCCCAAAAGCAGGACCATAGAAACTCGAACACTGGTTGTTCTCAGCTCCATGAGAGTCGGCAGCACTACCATAGAACCCAGGTGCTCCACCAGGACCACTCGGGCCTCCAGGAGAGGTCCAGCGGGACCTTGGCCTCTGGCCCGCCTTGCCCACCTCCTCCCCCAGGAGGAGGAGGAGGGGGCGGTCCAGCTTCAGCGCGTTCATGCCGAATATTGTCAAAATGACTGTGATCCTCACAGACGTGGTTCCCACAATCCGTGCAGGAATACATAGAGACCTCCTGGGCATTTTTACGACATGCCCAACATTTCATCTTCAAGAAGTGACAATTGCAACAGTCCCCATCGTCGCCCCGGCAAAGCCTGCAAAACTCTCGATTGCACGTAACACACGAGAATTCAGCGTCAGGGCGCCTACGGTCATTCGGATCATCGAGAGCACAGAGCGGCCGGTGCCGAGGCCCGTCCACGATCGGATGGAGTTCCAGGGGTCCTCCAGCTATCGCCGGGATATCAGCACGAGCTCTGCTCCCAGGAGTCCTCCAGCATGGGCCCTACTCACCCTATCACCTCCAGAATTACGGTTAGGGTTCGGAGAGACGCTTCCGCTATCGCAGATTGGCCTGTCCGGGTTCGGAGAAATGCTCCCGCTATCGCGGATCGTCCCGTCCCCTCTCGATTGCCGATTCCGGACCTCAGATCCCCTATCGGGGACGGCAGCAGGCCTCGGACTCCTATTCCTACCCACATCCCTGTTGGGGGAATTCGAAATGTCCCCCCTTGCGCGCGCGCGGGGGCCATCCCTTACACGCCCTGGCGGGGAATGTGACCTGTCAGGCAGTCCCCGAGCTCTTCTGCTTCTGCTGTCAGCCCTCTCCCTATCGGGATGAATGGGATGCCTGTCTGCACGAAAAGGATCGACCCTATCGGGCACATTTGGCAAAACGTGATCGGTCAAACCAACACCCCTGCCCGGTCTTACCGGAAGGTCAGTACCCCGACCGTCACCTTCTCCAGGAGTGGGCGTCGGAGACCTGATCCTATGTCCCTGTCCAGCAAAAGCGTTGTAACCAACATTCCGTCTCTCTCTGGGTCCTTGAGGATTCTGCTGATTTTCCTGGACACCCTGAATAATTTCAGCAGCCTCATCAACATGACCTTCAATATCAGTAAGCTGAGCCATGATTCTGTTGTTCATTCCATTAAGAGTACGTATGTTACTCTCGGTAGTAGTGATTCTCCGCATTGCGCCTTCAAGCGTACTCCGAAATGAATCGAGTTCACGCCTAACGGCAGACCGCGCTTGATCACTATTCGCAGGGAGATTGCGGATCTGCCTTCTGATGTCATCAAGAACTTGATTCAGAATTCCCGAGCTCGCTTCATACTGCTCAACACGGGACTTCACGGTCTCAAATCTCGCGATGACATCGTCATGATCCCGATGTTGGCGTTGAACCCCGCGAGATAGATCCTGGACCTTTCGATTGACCTCGTCCATTGCTTCATGCCAGTCCTGCGGGGAAACAGGCCCTGATGGTCTATCGACCGCCTGGGACCCCCTCCCACTTTGCAGCCTCAACATTCGATCAGCAAGAATGATTTGTTCTTCATTAATACCACCAATAGATTCGGAGGCCCACTTAGCAAACTTCTCGTGTTCAAGAAGAACCTTCTCGAGCTTCAGGTTTAATTCCCTGAAATTCGCGTTCGCCCCACTGCTGGTAGCCCCACTGCTGGTAGCCCTATCGGGCACTTGCGCAGCGGGGCTCAGATCCCATTCACCTGCCGGCGTCCGCATCCCAACGGTTTTCTCTACCGAGAACATCCGCCCCTCGAGCTTGTCTAAGTCCTTAACAGATTCATGAACCTCGTGAGAAAGCAAATTGATCCTCTGATCCACTACTTCAGCCTGTTCATCGATGGCTTGCCTCACAATGGCCCTGCTATCCGGGACGATCTCACTAGCGAACCGCTGAACTATCATTCGCATCCTACCGGCATCAGATTGAGTCGCAATCTCAGTCGCCAAACGATTGACCTTGTCTTTCGTCTGCTGATTCTCGTCGCTCCACTCCTTTCGCATGGAACCCACCTGACCGTTCAGTAACCTGATTTGGTCAGCAAAGATATGGAACGCTTTTGCGACTGAACCAGACACCTCACCCCTCTCGAGCATCTCCTGGATGTGCAAATCAAACACCTCCTTTGCCCTGGCGTCACCTGACTCACCGGAAGAGTGGGACCTGTGTGCTGGAGGAGTCGATATCTCGATCCTCTCAGGAGCCCCACTAGCTTTAGCATGTCTTCTGGGGTCGCCTACAGGACTATCACCTATCCTGGACGGCCTGCTAGGGGTAGATCCCCTCCTCCGGCTATCGCCAGATCGGGGATCAATGTTGGATGCACGAGACTCAGGAGTGGAGTGGATATGAACATCAGCAGGATCGAACATCTCCTCATCCTGTCGGGTTGAACCTAACGGTGAAGGGCTAGCCCTCCTCGCCTTTGACCTATCGGTCTCAATGGCGAGGGGTGACGGCCTCTTCGCTGAGGCACTACGCTCCCTGGCGGTCGATCCCCATTGAGGTGTGAACTCGTTGCTGGACCTTAGCGTTTCGATGTCACTGGGATCTCGCCCTAACGGGCTAGCGATCGACGGACGATCCTCGATTCCGAGTGCATCGGCAAGCCGACCATCTCTCGCACCTGTCCCAACGACATCGGCAGCCCGCTCAGTGATCCTCGGCGAACCAGTAACCCGGTTCGAGTTCTCGTCACTCTGATTCAACGGACCTCCAAATGTAATGTTGGGAAAGGGGGGAACATTTGGGGTATCACCAATCACTGGGGGACCTATCGGTCCCTCCCTGTCATGGATGGCCTCCAATCCCCGAAGAACTTCCCGGCTATCCCTGGCTCTCTCTCTCTCGCTCCGGGCGTCCTGGTCAACACGAAGGTCCCTGGTTGCTCCACGAGAGAGACTCCTGGGCCTTGCAGCAGCACGGATCCTAGCATTTCGGCGTGATTGGTCCTCCTCCTCATCCGCAAAGATGTAATCTTCACCATCATAAAATTCAGACTTGGCAGTATTGGGGTTGGGCCTATCGGCATCAGATCCCTGCTTTGAGCTACTGCCCCAGCCTGCTGTCGATTTCAACAGAGCATCGTATCCGAAACCTGTGAACTTCCGCTCCTCGTGCTCATCAAACTGACCTGGATTTTGAGAACCAGTGGATCGACCCGAGATACCTCTCGGAGCCAAAACCATAGTCCCTGGTCCCTGCAGCCTGTCCTCAAACTCATCCGAGACCTGCGATTCACCTGGAACAAGAGATCTCGGGGGTCGGGTCGGCATGGCCTCCGGGTCGTCCGAATGAGGGCGGGCCATGTTCATCGCCATGCTGATGAAGTCGAACTGTCCGCGCCTGTGACCTGATTCAGAGCCGCTCCTATCGGAGCGAACCCTTCGTGTCTGCTCATCATCAGTGGCCTGACGGAAAATGCGATCGTCTCCATCGTCGGTGTACCTGCCACGGCTTCTGGGTGTGTCCCTACCGGGATCTTCACCCCTGCGGTCCTGACCTGCCGAACCTGCTTCGAAATCCTCATAATCGAAGTCCGGTAGGTCCTCACCTGAGCGGAGGCCCCCTAGGATGGCCTCCTCATCCACGACACTCCTGTGTGATCGTGGGGTCGACATAGAGCTTGTAGTTGATGGTCTCAAGCGCGTAGGAAAGTCCTACGGCTGATAACCTGTGATTCGGGCACGAGCCTGTGCCCAGGCAATGGGTAAGTTGGGGTAAACAAGCCACAAAAAGAAGGGTTCCCCAAAAGCAAACCAATCCCCGGTCCCAAAGATCAGGGTTTCCCACACCCCAGAGAACAACAACCAAAAGGGAAAATCCAAAACAAGTAAACAAGTACCCGCAACCTTGATCGACGATGAACCGCACGGGCGGACCCCACCAATCTGCCCCGGGCCGATGTCTCTTTCTCCACCGACACGAAGGTGATCGACGCGGGGACCCGGCGACGCTCATCCGAGGCGCGACGGACCCGCAAACTTGAGCCAAAACACCACAGGTCGGTCACTACCGCGACGTCCCTGATGATGATATTAACCATGGCTAATCACATTCTATGAACCCCGAAATTACACCCTCTGAGAAAAGTTCCTAGGATGCAATCCCAGTGTGTAAGGAAAGCCCCTTAGAACATAGAGGCTGCAAAGCAAGGAGTACCGATCCCAGGGCTAATAACCCCGGAGCTAATGCAAATTGCGGCCTGTTGGCCAAGATTTCGCACCAACTTTCGCCCCGAATGATGGCCTCTGCTTGCACCGTTTCTGGGTCACCCGAAAGGCTGAACCAACTCCCCACCCTCTGACCTCCCCCCACGTCTCACAGCCGGCAGACAAGTCGTGGAGGTTCTTGATCTTGGCATGCGTGCCCTTCTCCTGGACAAACAGCCAATGTGTATGGCAGGCGCCAGCTTAAGCAAGAGCGCGAAGTGAACCTTTCAGCCTGGAAAAAATTGTTGATGTTGCTTCAGCCTTGTCTCCTGCTGTTTTTTAGCTGGCAGAATCTAAGCTTATACACATCAATAATAAAGAATCCCCGAACAAGCATCTTTCCTAGGCAAGTGGTTCGTCATAATGTCAACCCTTTAGTGGGGGTCTTTTATTCCTCATAGTATATTATGGTCCTCCCCATTCATCTGAAGTCAACCATAACCCTGTTTGGGGCGCCAGGTTTGCCGAAACCCCTTGTGCGATTGCGTTTTGATTGGCCCGCAACAAACTGGACCCAATCAAAGCCCCTGCGCTACGAGGCGAGACTTCTCCACTCAACCCATGTCGGAAGCCGCTGTTGGATGTTTTTTGGGGAACACCGGATCTCCGACACTGATCTCTTAGAGTGTCTCTTTCTTGCAGGGCTGCCTACTTCAGGTTGTTTCAAAGGGATGCCCACTTTAGGGGCATCCCACTTTGGAGACAAAGTGGGCTTCCAAGAAGCTGTTTTGGAGGCTTCGCAAAGGGGAACTGGAGGCACCGCGTGTTCCCGCCATGTATTTGCCCCCTCCCGCACCCAAAACAAAAGAAAACACGGAACAAAGGGAGAAAAAACAAGGCCCGCAACCGCTCCCGGCCAGGGTTGTGCCAACCCTTCTTCCAGCATGTTTAGCCGCTGTTGTCCAAACCACCTCCTTTGGTTTTTCCCTTGAGATCCGGGAAGAGTTGCAAAACCTGCTATAACCACTCCCATCGCCTCTCCCAATCGATCCATATCGATCAGACGGCCTTCTCCAGCAGCGGCACCAGCTTTTCCATCATCTGGTGGTAGATGCTGCGGCCCCGGGGCAGCAGCAGGTCGTGCATGTTCTCCTGGCGCGAGCTTTTGACATTGGTGGCTTGGGTTGGAGCAAAAGCCGGAAAAGGGTGGAAGCGGGGATTTGCGGACAACAATGGGATGCGAACAAGCAAAAGGAAAAGAGCATTTGCAAGGCTTCTGTAGGCCTTACCATGATCCCCATTCAACACCCACCCTTCTAAATGACAAGCGGGGGGTGGAATCTTGGGGAGGGACAAACAGCGGACACCCTGTGGCCAGGGCTAGAGCACTCTCGCTGTGCATGCAGCAAAATCAGGAAAGCATAGTCGGCGCACCAAGGATTTGAGTTCCAACAGCGCGATAGCTTCCTCTGGTACCACTTGCCTTGCAAAAAAGCTGGCCCATACCCCTTGCCTCCCCAATTTCCCCCCTGACCCGCGACGCCCGCGACGCCCGCGACGCACCGAGAGGCAGCTGCCCGCGACACCGAGCCAGGCCTTGCGCATCACGAGGTACTGGTTCAGCGCGCTGCGCAGCTCCTCGCTCATCACCACCGTCTTGTCCCCTAGGGTTTCCTGCGCACAGTGGCACGATGCATCCCCCACAAAAGCTGCGCTCGGGACCAATGCGAACCACACCTCCAAGCTCGGAAACACTTGAGCGGGGGGAGGGGGGGGGGGGGGCGGGGGGGAAACGTTTGCTCAGAAGGGTAGCATCGGCATTGGTGGTAGCTTTTGTGTAGCTTGACCCTTGAGCCAACTTTGTCTCCCGCGCATGTCGCCTCGACCTGCAGGGCCAAGTGGTCCCGGCGCTGCTTGAAGGCCTGGCCCACTTGTGGTGCAATCAGCTCAAGCCTTGGGGCCTCACTTAGGATGGCCAAGTTGGTGGTCAAAAGCAGCGCTGAACCATGCACTTGCAGCATGCGTTGGGTCCAAACTTGTTGAAAAGAACAAACAGCTGTGGGATTCTTGTGCGCAGTCAACCATCAAAGGCATTTTGCCACCCAAACAAAAACAAACAAGGGCACGTCAACAAGAGGACGTCTCGGTCAATGTATTACTACTGAACTTCACAGAAACAAAAATGTGTGCCCTTTATCATGGGCGGCTCTTTTTTGGCCCCACGTGAGCTCGTCATCATTTGCACTGAGAGAATTGCTTGCTCGGAATGACCTCGATTGCCATGTTACAATGTTTGGCAACAATGAGGACTATCTAAGAAATCGAGGAATTCAAGCAAACTCTGGGCAAACACAATGTTCGAGTTTGATACCTAAATCGACGACGGGCCTTGGCACGAACTGGTACTGCGCAACAAGCCAGATCCAGCCATTGCAAGATTGTGTACAGGATGAATGGTTGTGCTGCCCCGCCCATGCTCTCGCAAGAACCACGACTCAGTGCGGCCGTAGTGGCTTCCTGGATCGTCAACGGCCTTCTGACCCCAAGAGGCCAAAAGGCGGACCACGAAAAGTGTGGAACCCCGAGCGCTCGGGGCTACCAATGCTGACCTCCGATTGCCAAGCCCCCAGCTCATCAGAACAACTCACCCATGAATAAACTAAGTGCCCACCCCAGAGCAGGTGGTTTATAAGGGTGGGATTCATCCATCTGGTAGATTCATAGACGACGACTTTTACGTTAAGTTTAAAAAAAAAGCATCAGAAATGGAGACCCAAAGGAACCTTCATCATAGGGCACATAACGGACACAAGCAAATTCCTTCATGAGGTCGGCAGTTTCACGTGCACAGAGTACGATAACACTCCTGTACATACACATGGAACTCAAAAGCCCATCCTTTTGAAAGGACCTCCTTTAGGGCGACCGAATTCTAATGCCCCCGCCCGAACGCTCCCCGAGCCGCGAGCCCCGAGCAAGCGAAAGGCCGCCTTGCGCATGCCGAAGCCGAACTCCGCGTTGTCCTCGAAGAGCGAGTTTGCCCAGGCGGGGCCTGCGACCGAGTCACATCAGGTCACCGGGTCAGCGGAAAGGAGCGAAGGTGGAGGCCATGCCCAGACTGCAAAACCCTTCAACCCTCCTCCAAGCCTCCAAGCCTCCAAGCCTCCAAGCCCTTGGCCAACCCCCCCTCTTGCCTTCGCCCTTGGAGTTCACGGTGTAGGGGATCGACGGGTTGGACGCGCCCCAAATCGAGGAGCAGCCCGTGGCGTTGGCGATGACCAGGCGCTCCCCGAAGAGCTGCGTCATGAGCTTCACGTGGGGCGTCTCGCCGCAGCCCTCGCAGGCTCCGCCTCAGCGAGAACTCAAGGCCTGGAAACGAAGGTTCAGCCATTCTCCAACTTGGTTTGGATGGTGGTTAGGGACTGGATTTACCCTCCTCCACCAATCCAAACCACCTAAAAGTCACCTGAGAGGTGAAAAGAACCCCAATCAAAAAAACAAACATTGGGCAAACAGGGACTGCGAAAAAGCGGTTCACAGTCCCCGGCTGCTTTTGTCATGGGTTGTTCACAAAGGTCCTTGGCCCCTTCCCTGACCTTTCAGGAACTTTGCTGCTTTACCCAAAACATAAACAAGCCCTTCGATCTTGCTTGGAGTAGCAAACCGTGAAGGGTTCTTATTTCCAACCAATGGTATGTCCAACCGTCAAACAGCCAACACCTACCAATCAAAACGTTTGGGAAGTGGTTGCATCCTCCGGAGGAAACTGTTCGGTGGGAACTCTTGTTAAAAACCCTATGCCGCTTTAAGTTTCAAGCAGTGAGACAGCTCAAAATTCTACTGTTCCGAATCACACGTACCTATCCCATCCAACCCAAGTCTATCGCGTCCCAGTCCGTCAAAAAGACCTACTGTGTCCAAATAGTGAACCTATCCATCGGAGCCAATCATCCATCGGAGCCAATCAGTTGCCGGCCCATCCATCCATCCATTCACTCACCCACCCACCCATCTCTCCTATGTAGATTCTCGTGAATATGCTGCAATAGGTAGGCAAATAGATAGGTAGATAGATAGGTAGACAGGTAGACAAATAGATAGGTGGATGGACGATGGACCAATAGGTAAATAAATAAATAGATACATAGGTAGGCCCTCCGATGCAGTTGATAGTTTCACCTTGCAATTCAAGCACTCACTCAACTACACCCAACCCGCCACAAATTGCCAGCCCCAGCCCACCCCAACCAACCACCCCAACCACCACATGTTGTCAACATTCCTACCCACCTGCCGCATCAATCTAACCATCCATATCTCAAACCATCTAACCCATCTATGGACCTATCTATCTATCCATTCCCATTCCTCTGCCTATCTCGGCGCTCCAAAGCGCTGCGCCTGCCACGAACTCAGCACGCAACCCTCAAAAGTACTGCGCCTGCCACACAAGTCAGTGCTCCGGTGAGATGGTGCTGCGCCTGTCACGAAATTCCACAATCAGCACTTCGAGCTCTGCAACTACCACGACATCTGCACGCGACTCTCCAAAGCACAGCGTCCGCGCAATCAACAGGCGCTGAGCCTGCCACAAAGCTGAGCTCGTCGCGCTCCACAGTATTCCCCACCCCTAATCAGGAGCCTGCGCTCGCAGCGCTTGGGGGCACATCTCGCTGAAGGCGCTGATTTGCCTGGCAAGCCCAGTGCTTTGGAGGGATTCGTGGCAGGCGCAGCGCTTTGCCAAAACGAAATCCCCGGTTTGCGCCTTTGCCTCAGCCAGCCGTCCATGCAAGCAAGTGAGGTTGGACCGGATCGGTTCTTCATATCCCCACCATGTGAATCAGCGACGACCTTTGAAGTGCGCCATGATGATTTCAATTGCAATGCTGGCCTGCCATGGAAGTCGTCCGCGCCTCCTCCAAGTAATGGCTGCATATCCGGCTTCCGTCGATTGTTGGCGTGGGATTGCCCGCTCACCATGTGGCCAAGAAGGACGCTGCTCAAGCCTGTGCCATGCGGAGGCAGACTTACGCCTCGCCGCTGAATGTTGCGCCATAGGACCGTAATGCCGTTGCAGCGCAGCAAGCTGGCGGCATCCTTGTGTGCGCTCCGAGGCCGCGGCGTGACCGGTTCCCGGGCGCTGCAACACTTTCAGCGTCTGGGAGCTCCTTTGTGTTGGTCAAAAACTGCTGCCGTTACACTGGCCCCCCAAGCCTCGTGAATTGCCGGCTGGGAAGGTGGTCAAAACTGAGGTGCCTAAAAGGGGGTGGAAATTACTCAAAAGTACTGTAATTATAGTCAAATTATTTTGGGGCGTGTTTTTGCTCTTCTTTGTTTGTTTCTGTTCTTCTCTTGTTTTTCCTTTGGGAGGGGGGGGGGGGTGGGGGGAGGGGGGCACCATATATACAAATATATGTATATATATATATATATATATATATATACATATATGTATGTATACATAAGAATCATAACAGCAATAAACACATATGCTGGAGAAAAAGGAGTAAAGAAAAAAAAAGAAGAAACAAAGGGAAAAGAAAAAAAAAACTTTATTCCAAGGCGCTGAACTCCAAGAAAGGTTTCTGAAACTGGGAGCCCTTCACCGTGGTCTTGTCCAACTCGTCCCCCCGCTCCGGCAGCGTCAAGGCAAAGTCCCAGTTCGCCTTCTCCTCCTGACCGAGCCGTGTCCGGCCAAAGTGTCCGTCCTTTTTGTCGTGGGAAAAAATGAGGGAGAGTTGCTTTTTGTGAATTATTCTTGAAACCAGACCAAAGAGGTAGGGTAAGGTCGAAAAGGTTGAGGGTACCCATATATATATATATATATATACCTCTTACGAAGTAGTTGGTAACCATGTACGTTGAGTGGTTCTAGGTATCCGGTGCCGGTGCGATCCGGTGGCGGCCAAGGCTTCATGAAAAGGACTTGTAAACGTAGGGGGCTAAATCATTACGCGCATGATCTGTCCTGTACTGTCGCAATTTGCTTTTGACAGCTCGGTACCCTTTTCATATTTAGGTCCTTGCAATGGCTTGTGTTGTTTTGGCACAGTGACAAAGTTCCTTTGGGCGAGCCCTTCGCCCGAGGTCGGTGTGGGGGTTGCCTGTTGACACCTGGCCAAGTGGGTAAAGAGAGACTCAAAGAGACAGAAGAATCCAAGATTCATTCTATTGACCCGAGGGATCCAAGGTGAAGGCAAAAATATAACCACGTTTAGCTGGACGGGAGAAAATCAAAGGAAGAGCTATGATCCATGTTGCCCCCGTAAGCATTTTTCAGTGTGCATTCCTTTCCATACTCTTGGATAAAGAAAAGAAAAAAGAAAAAAAATAAGGAGGAAAAAAAAAGACCCTGATATGCCCTATACCCTTATATACCAGTACGTTACACCACCCAACCTGGCCTGCACCACCTTCCCGGCTTCTGCCAGCTTCAGTGCGTCAGCGGGGCAGATGCGTACGCAAAGCTCGCAGCCCGTACAGTCCAGGGGACTGACCTGCACCAAACGGGAGTCGAAGGCTCCTCTTTGGGGGCTCCTTACTTAAAGGCTCCTATAATAGTATTTGGTCCTTTTTTGGGCGGACCCCTTTCTTCGGACCCCTTTCTTCGGACCTCCGTTTTGGGGCGCTTCCGAATCCTGCGGGCTTGTCAGAACCTGTCAATCATGGAAACCAGCTACAGGAAAGTCACACCAAAACGAGGGGGAGAGGGTTCGGCGAACGCCTTGCAGCTGCAGTCATCCAAATAGAATCTGAGTTGATGTCCTGGGTCAGGTGAGTCTCTGTCACTAACTGGTGCTTGATCCTTTCAACTTGAGCATGAAGATCAAACAAGAATGGTCAAGGTCACGACTTGTGACTGTCAGCTGGATCAGGACAGTTGGTAACTCCCAATGCGGAAGCTAGTTGTTATGGAGACAAAGGCTCAAACACAAAAAAACAATGGAGAATGCAGAAGGATCTGGAAAGCCAAAGAAGGCAAACAAAAAAAAAAACGAAAAGGCATTGAACCTCCGCCATCGCGCGCGCGCCAATCCTCACGAGGGAGGTGACCCATTCAACGCAGGTGAGACGTGCACGAGGGCCGGCTTATGGATCCAAATCCTTGCCAAAATGTATTTGAAGTGCATCCTTTCACAGCGACTTCGGGGACTGCTTCTCGCCTGGATGCGGTACTGCAAGCTGTCCAGCACGCCCCCGCCGATGGCCGCGCGGCTGCCGGCGCGGAAGTCTGCCGGCGCCTGGTGCAAAGCGATGCGCACCAAGAGTGCTGGGTGAAGAGGGGGCGGAGGGGGGGGAGGGCGATTTGAACACCTGCTTAAACATGCCAAAGACTCGGTCCCTTCTGGAAGAAAATGGTCCAAATCAGGAATCCCGGTAACGGTCCATCAGACAGCAAATGGGCTTGGTCCTCTCTGGGTACCCATTCCCAAGTTTGGTTTCCTTTTCAGTGGGATTTGTGAGGTACGCCTGCCCCTTTCTTGGAAACATGATGTCCCTTGTACCCATGAGGTAACATGTACGGAGAAGGGACCCCCTGAAAACTGGGAAACCCTGCGGAAAACCATGGGAAACTGCTGCTTTTGGGCCCTGCGAGACTCGCGGGACCCCTCCCCTTCCATACAGTTCTCTTCAGGGAAAGAAATCAGGATTTGAGCGTTCGGGGCCCCAGTTTCGTGTCTCCAGTCTTCCCACGGGAATGACATCGAAAAGGGAATCCAGGAGCCACCCATCTCAACAATTTCAGGCATTGAGAACCCGTTTTGTCCAGTCACCGCATGTAGGGGTCGTTCTAGGTCAAGCCTCTGCACCAAACATTTTGCCAAGGCTGAAGAACATCTGCCCACAGTGTTCGACCAATCCATTTTCCTCATTCCCACAGCCCCATTTTTTGTCCAAAATCGTCTCCGAAAGTCCCAACGACTCGTCCACCTTGGAGAGCTCCTGGGTGGTCGCCAGGAACGGCCTCACCTCAGGCTGGGCTGAAATGCCTGCCCTCCTCTCGGGTTCTCGTTGGATTGACGATTTTTTGGGGCGTACCCTGGCGTACCTCCAACAAACGCCAGAACCACTTGTCGGCTGCAAGAAAAAACCCTTGCAGGCTGGAAAAAGGACCACCTCGAAGCCGGCCTCGCAGAGTGGACCGTCCAGAAAAGACAGCGACACTAACACGCGGTTGGGCTTTGGTGACCTTCTAGCCGGGAGTAAGCCTGAGAAATATGAAGGAAATCTAGGGTGCTCTGTGGGGCATTGGTTTGGAAAGAGGGAAAGTTGTCAACCCTTTAGTTGTCAACCCTTTCACACGATGGAGATGCCAACCCAAAATCTTGGAGCAACGAAAAACTCAAAATGAGGCCTGGAGGCTCTTTGGCAAAAGCAACATCCTAGGCAAGCAAAGCCAGTTTCGACTTTACATTGCTGTACGCCTTCTCCAATCAGCAAGTACAACAGCGGAAATGGGAGAAGGCTGTCCAACCTGTGCTGCAAATTCAGCATCACCCAGTGCAGCTGTCGTTCGGTTCCTGTGCTCATTGATCGCAACGCCAGCTCGCACAAGAGCGAACCAGTTCCCCGATGAACAAAAAGAAGAAGGACCTGCACCAGCCAAATAAGGTTGTTCCTCTCCTAGCGGCCATATGCGTAGCAGGGTGTGTGTGTGTGTGTGTGCGGGTGCATCTATACATGTGTATACATATATATATATATATGCCAATATCCCCTATATATATATATATCTGTGTTTTTATATATATATATATATATGTATGTATGTATGTATGTATATATACATGCTAGACACCACATACATATTCGTGTTCTTGTGCATTTTTACTTCTGCATTTCTTCGGCCGAGCAGCCGCAGCATGCGGGCAGATCAAGCTGCACTTGTTGCACTGCGTGCAGAGGTCCATGTCGACCTGCCGAAGCAAGGGAGCCGCCCAAAATATCCTCCTGTAGCCTCTTAGTGTTGGTTTTGGAGCTGAAAATCGACCCATCCAAGCTTCATTCAGGGAAGACACCCCAACCCACGCAAGGGATGGTGAAGGCCTGGGTCCATGCACAAGGATTGGGTTGGCACCCTTCTCCAATCACCCCCCTTCCTAGTGATGTTTGAATGGATCTCACTTCACAAGGCGAAATCTTGGAAAACACAACTAAGTTTGGACAAGCAGTGAGGCCACGGAAAACGGATCATTTTGCGCGCGGGGGGATCAGTTCATAAACCTGTTGTGTCCAAAGGTATGCGTTTGGGGTGTGCCACCGAGAAAACGAACAAAGGCTGATATGCCAGAAGGGGGTGAGGGTTACTGGTCAAGGGACCAACCCAAGGGATGGCAGAACAGACCATGCATAGTGTGAGTGGAGCGCAATCACCATCTGAAGACTTTGGGGGCTCCATCAATGCACCCGCCTCAAAGCAGCAGCCCTAAAAAAATCCTTGGGTGCACGACCAGGCAGGCAAGTACATATCTCTGCGTGCAATGCTTGCTGAGTCACCATCGCAAGAAACTCTGCTGGTGCACGTGAATATTCACTTCAACTGGCACTATATACATCTGGACACTGGAACTGGGGGGTTTCCTTTTGGCCAACCCTTTTGCACCCCACTCTTTTGCGGGGTACCCCAAACAAACCGAACCGAATCCGCCCGCGCGTCCGACCCTTGGGACCGGGCCCTCGGCACGTTGATGGCGATGCCCCGCTTCTCGAACTGCGAGGTGCCCAGCGGCACGCGGCCGCCCGGCACGAAGGAGCTCACCGGCAGGCTGTTGCCGTCCTGAACGAGAAAAAACAAGCAGAAAAAAGAGAGCATGAAGCATGAAGCTCGCTATTCCTAAGCCGGAGAAAAAAGATAAGAACATAGGCTATAGGTGAGCTTTGGCGACCTGGACAAATAGATGGACGAGTGTCCATGGTAAGTGGAATACAACCAATCTACAGCATTGCCATCTATGTCTAAATAATCTAACCTAAAAAGGAGCCCAGTGACGGGATTATCAAAACTGATTCCTGGGGTTGGACCCTTCTGGACCTGTGGGAATTCCCAGTTGTTGTATCTATGAGGCGCTCCAATGAACTTGTGTCTAAGAACCACTTGGTGTTATAACGTGCTCAGCCCCTTGCGTCCCGTACCTTGCTGCCAAAACTGAGACAGTGTCGAATGGCGATTGCCGCTGAGGTCTTCGAAAGAACAGCAACAGCACCGAGGGAACCCAAAATCCGACGCGGCTCAAATCGAACAAATCCCCTTGGACATCACCTTTGGCCAGATTCAAGCTTCTTGGCGTTGCGGGCAAGCTTCGGGTCCACAATGTGAGGGATTGACTTGGCCCCATCCCATCCCTTCCGAAGGGCCCCCAAAAGGAACGCTTCCGTCTTCCAAAACCCTGCGATCGTCAGCTTCCATGAGTGACTGGGTGTGGTTCCTTGGATGGCTTCCTTATGGAATCCCTTCAAACCCAAAGCCCCCATTGGCTCTCCCGTTTCGACCGAGGCGCCAGGTTGTTGCAGGGGAACTGCACGCTGTCGGCAAACTCCTTGGGCGCGAGGTCCACGATCTTCCGCGGGCCCTTGGACTCCACGGCGACGCTGCGCTCCTATCGCCGCGCCGAGGTGCGCGCGTGGGAACCGATATGATCGGATGATCGGATGCGCCTTTGTGGGAAAAATCGGAGGATCCCCTGGTGTTAGTGGGAAAGCTAAAGGATCCCCCAAAATCCGTCCCGCCCAAAAGGACCATGGATTGGACACTCTGGCCACACTGGGTCACTTTGCCCTGGATGCGCGTGACACGTCCGGCCGTGGAAACTCTTGGCAGCACACCGGATGCTACATGAAATCAGGCATAACATGCTAGCCGTCCCGCAAGATCGACTCATTGTGCCCAAGCATCGAGAATTGTCAGTGTCAACGTCTTGTCAAGGCTTCACAAGCAGAGCTGCAAACGAACAAAACTGAATCCTCCTCTCTTTCAAAGGACAGGGGAGCTTGTGTCAAGAAATGGTGCTCTGCTCTAAGGCACTAAAAGTGAAACGGGTCCACGCCCCCCCCAAAAAAAATGGAGCCTTGCCAAAGGGGTGCTCAAGAACTCAAGGTGCAAAGCTTGGGGTCAGAACATGACTGAACTATTTTGGAGAAAGCACATTGACGCTAGCCACGTGCTCAACAAAACATGTGAGTTGTCTAAACAGCGCAACCCAACTGAGTGACGAAAAGTTCCCGCGAGAAGCCAAGTGCGGGTTCATCTCCATGGAGGACCCCCGGTCAGGGCGCGTGTGTACATTTATCCCATTTGCGTTCTTGAAACAATCACCCCCACGGTCTGATGCTACCAAGTCCTCTCCCCTACAAGTCGAAAATATCCCCCTGAACAACTGGGTCAGTAACCAAACGAACAAACCACTATATGAAGGGCTGCGTACCCCAAATCCAACAAACCTGAAAGAGACCCCATGAGCTTCAGACCATTTCCCCCTGACTCTTCGAGGTTCCACGTAGCACAGCCCAGCGGCCAGCCACGAGCCCCACTCCACTTCTCCTCTCCAGGCACGGAGAGCGAGGCCCAGGCATCCGGCACGGGCACCTCCACGATGCCGGACACTGAGGCATCCACGCCGTCGATGTTCATCTGAACCACCTTGTCGCCTGGCACAGAGCATTTGCAGTTTGGTTTTTTCGTCCCTTTGGAGGGATTTGGGTCCAATTCACTTAACATGGACTTCCCAACAAACAGTTGATCAACCAATGAAACTGCCACTTTTGGGAAGCTGGAAATTCACGTAGCCTAAAGAGACAAATCGGCGGAAACTTGCCCCAATCTTGGCTGACCCAGTGGTCGTGGATCAGGGGGGAATCCCCGAACAAAATGAGCCGAGCAACTGCACTGTTGTAAAACTGTATGCATTACCATCCATTTCTCACCAGTCACGGACCTCTGTAAGAGACATGCCCGTTTGCCTCCCCAAATCCAAATCCCCTACCTTCCGGAGATCCCCTTTTCCCCCCCAAACATCCCCAGAACAGGTTGCGACCATGGTTGTAACTGGGGCAGGGCTGAGACTCAAGAAATGCAGCCCTGGACGACAGGAAATGGCCGCGCCCTGAAGTCAAGGACACTTCTCTTGCCGGCACAACCATGTCACAACCTACCTGCGCGCTTGCCCGTGGCAAAAATGGCGACGGAGGTGTCGGCCAACGGACGCCTTTCTTGCCGTACATCTTCTTGATGCTCTTCTTCAGCATCTCGATGGCCGCCTCGAAGGGCATCACCTGAGAGACAAAGCAGGCAGCACAGTGCTCTTCATGCATCGGTTTACGTGAGGAATGGTGTTTTTCTCATTCTATGTGCATTTACCATCATTTGGGGCGGCCACAAAACCTAGCACATCACTGCCAGCACATGGACTTCAAATGGGTGCTCCTAGTGCTCCTTAGGCACCCCGTGTGTAAGGGGCATGCCAGCCTGGGCCAAGGTCAGGAAATGAAAGCACATGGCAACATGTTGTGATGCCGAGTCTGGATTGATACCTCGGTGTCTCTTCCGTCGTTTCCCTCTTTAGTGCTTCAGGGCTCAACAGTTGACATTGCTGAATGAGACCATGACTTTCCTAGGGGAATCAGGAGTCTTTTCGGAACTGTTTGTGTGAATGGGAGGCTCTGAACAGATTCGATGCGCTGTGTGCGATCGAACTTCTTATTCCTGCCGACCATGTCTCACGTCTTCCTTTCTTCATCCGAGAAGCTCCGCTCAACTTGAAGAAGACGGTCTGCATGATCATGTTGATGCGCTTGCCCAAGCCAGCCTACATTATGTCCACAACAAGCAAACAAACGCGCGAACAGTTTGTGTCGCTTTGTTTCTTGTTCACCCCGTCGCCAAGGGAACACCGCACGCGCGAACAAAGTTCATGTGATGTGGAGCTTCAGCTTCAGTGGGGCTCGGAATTTGCCAAAGGCCCTCCCAATGCCACTCTGCACCATGCAAAGCCCGTTACCTCACCTGACAGCCAAGATGTCTGAAACGCAAACCCGACGCGGCGACCGGGCGTGACATGATCTCAGCTCCAAGAGGGTGTGGGAAGTGACCCCCTTGCCGCTGAAAAGTGTTGTTTAGAGCCACCTTTCGATGGGAAAAATGGTGGGTGTCTTTCTGTGAGAGAAGTACCCTTCTTGGGGCTTAAAAGGAAATTTCATTTAAAGAGAATGTGTTCATGTAGCCTGATTTCCGAAACTGTAAAAATGGTGGAGCCCAGAAAGGATAATTTGCTTGTGGGGTTCCTTCCAAAACAGCCAAGGTGATTGCTAGAGTCTTGGTTCCCCAAAGAAGAGGACAGGGCCTTGTTACATGATCCAACATCCGGTGTGCGACCAAAACTCCGGGATCTTGTGGCCGATTTTTGCCCGAGCCCAGGTGCGGATGGCAGAGGGCTGGGCCTGCCTTGACGCCAATGGCGGTGGCATCGATGAGGAAGAGCTTGGCCTGGAGCGAAGCCGCCAGTCCGACTGCCGACTCCACCCCAAAACACAAAACTAACGTGTGATGGACAGTTAGGGTCTATTTCGCAACCTCCTTTTTCGGCTATTGTCTAAATATATATATATATATGTGTGCGTCCATGCATTTATTTATGATTGATATTATCATTATTATTATTATTATTATTAGTATATCTTTTTATTAAGATTAGTATTAGTATTATTATTGTTGTGAATAGTAGTAGTAGTAGTAGTAGTAGTAGTAGTAGTAGTAGTAGCAGTAGTAGTAGTAGTAGTAGTATGATTATTGTTACTACTATCATTATCATTTTAAATATCATTATTATCATTAGTATTGTCATTATTAAGATAAGTACTAGTATTATTATTATCATTATTAAAGCATTATCATTAGCATTATTATTAGTATTAGCACTATTAGTAAAAGCGGCTGCCAACTTCACCTGCCAACTTCTCATGCCAACTTGTCGAGAGTTACTTCACCTGCCAACTTCTCATGCCAACTTGTCGAGAGTTACTTCACCTGCCAACTTCTCATGCCAACTTGTCGAGAGTTACTTCACCTGCCAACTTCTCATGCCAACTTGTCGAGAGTTACTTCACCTGCCAACTTCTCATGCCAACTTGTCGAGAGTTACTTCACCTGCCTACTTCTCATGTCAACTTTTCGGCTGTTATCTCATTCTACTAAAAGCACAAGCTAATTTGTCGGGTGTTACTTCACTATCCTAAAAACACAAGCTAACTTTTCTGTTCTACCTAAAGCACAAGCTAATTTGTCGGGTGTTACTTCACTATCCTAAAAACACAAGCTAACTTTTCTGTTCTACCTTCACTTCTCGACTCTTAATTCTTCTTCTTTTTATGGCGGGGGTAGGCCCGACGGGAGCTTACGAAACGCACCCCTCTGCGGAGATCGTGCGTGTCGAAGCGCTCTCGCTGTGGCGCCGTGCGAATTTGTCTTGAGCCCGAGAACCCTCTGCGGAGATCGTGCGTGTCGAAGCGCTCTCGCTGTGGCGCCGTGCGAATTTGTCTTGAGCGCGGCGAACCCTCTGCGGAGATCGTGCGTGTCGAAGCGCTCTCGCTGTGGCGCCGTGCGAATTTGTCTTGACCTTGGCGAACCCTCTGCGGAGATCGTGCGTGTCGAAGCGCTCTCGCTGTGGCGCCGTGCGAATTTGTCTTGACCTTGGCGAACCCTCTGCGGAGATCGTGCGTGTCGAAGCGCTCTCGCTGTGGCGCCGTGCGAATTTGTCTTGACCTTGGCGAACCCTCTGCGGAGATCGTGCGTGTCGAAGCGCTCTCGCTGTGGCGCCGTGCGAATTTGTCTTGACCTTGGCGAACCCTCTGCGGAGATCGTGCGTGTCGAAGCGCTCTCGCTGTGGCGCCGTGCGAATTTGTCTTGACCTTGGCGAACCCTCTGCGGAGATCCTGCGTGTCGAAGCGCTCTCGCTGTGGCGCCGTGCGAATTTGTCTTGACCTTGGCGAACCCTCTGCGGAGATCGTGCGTGTCGAAGCGCTCTCGCTGTGGCGCCGTGCGAATTTGTCTTGACCTTGGCGAACCCTCTGCGGAGATCGTGCGTGTCGAAGCGCTCTCGCTGTGGCGCCGTGCGAATTTGTCTTGAGCCCGATGAACCCTCTGCGGAGATCGTGCGTGTCGAAGCGCTCTCGCTGTGGCGCCGTGCGATTTTCTTGCTCGCGAAACGGCTTTTGGAAGTTGTCTCGTGGTGTGCGCGCCTGCTTTCGCAATCCCGCGGTCCCGGGTTCGATTCCCCCCTGGTCCGCGGCAGCTCCGGCTTGAAAATCGCAGCTTTTAAGTACAAACGTAGTACGCGGAGCGTGCTCCTGCAGCTCCGGCTGGAAAATCGCAACTTTTAAGTACAGACGTAGTACGCGGAGGCTGCTGCAGCTCCGGCTGGAAAATCGCACTTTTTAAGTACAGACGTAGTACGCGGAGCGTGCTCCCGCAGCTCCGGCTGGAAAATCGCAACTTTTAGATACAAATGGCTGGAAAATCGCAACTGTAAATTGCAAATGTAGCACGCGGAGCGCCTCCGCCGCTCCAGCTTTTTGAGGGTTAATTACTTCACCTGCCAGTTTCTCATGCCGAAACTTCGAGAATTACTTCACCTGCCAGCTTCTCATGCCACCTTTTCGAGAGTTACTTCACCTGCCAACTTCTCGTGCCAACTTTTCGAGGAGTTACTTCACCTGCGAGCTTATCATGCCAACTTTTCGAGAGTTACTACACCTGCGAGCTTCTCATGCCAACTTTTCGAGAATTACTTTACCTGCCAACTTCTCATGCCAACTTTTCGAGAAATACTTTACCTGCCAACCTCTCGTGGCAACTTCACCTGCCAACTTTTCGAGAATTACTTCACCTGCCAACTTCTCATGCCAACTTTTCGAGAAATACTTTATCTGCCAACCTCTCGTGGCAACTTTTCGCAAAATTACTTCACCTGCCAGCTTCTCATGCCAACTTTTCGAGAGGTACTTCACCTGCCAACATCGCCTGCCAACTTTTCGAGAGTTACTTCGCCTGCCAACTTCTCGCGCCAACTTTTCGAGAATTACTTCGCCTGCCAACTTCTCATGCTAACTTTTCGAAAGTTACTTCACCTGCCGGCTTCTCACGCCAACTTTTCGAGAGTTACTTCACGCGCCATCTTCTCGTGCCAACTTTTCGAGAATTACTTCACCTGCCAGCTTCTCACGCCAACTTTTCGAGAGTTACTTCACCTGCCAACTTCTCATGCCAACTCTTTGAGAGTTATTTCACCTGCCAACTTCTCATGCCAACTTTTCTCTTGAGTTACTTCGCCTGCCAACTTCTCATGTCAACTTTGCGAGAATTACTTCACCCGCCAACTTTGCCAGCCAACTATTCGAGAGTTACTTAACCTGCCAGCTTCTCATGCCAACTTTTTGAGAATTGCTTCGCCTGCCAACTCCTCATGCTAACTTTGCGAGAGTTACCTCACCTGCATCAACTTGCCTCTATGCTTCCGGGCCACTCGTCGTCTAGTTATTAGTAGTAGTAGTAGTAGTAGTAGTAGTAGTACTAGTACTAGTACTAGTAGTAGTAGTAGTAGTAGTAGTAGTAGTAGTATTCTTGTTATGATTATCATTATCAGCCTCATTATCAGTATTAGTATTACTATTATGAAGATTAGTATTAGCATTATTATTAGCATTATTATTGCTATTATTATTATTATCATTATTATTATTATTATTGTTATTGCTATTCTTATTACTACTACTATTTTACTTTCTTTTTTTTCTGGGGTTCCTGGTTGCAAAATAGACTCTATGTGCCCATGCGCTTCCCCCGCCCCCAAAACAACTGGCGTCCCCAACAGCAACCCCCAGAACCCTTCCGGAATCGTTTTGATACTGATGCAACTCTGTTTTGAAGTGCCCTACCCACACACACACACACACACGCACCTAAAAATCAACAAGTGCCCTCCCAGCTACAAACATGTGACCTGACAGGCGGGGGGATTGCATAACGTCGGGGATTGAAGCTGACAGCCACGTTCATGTCAGACATGTCTAAAGTCAAACCTAGTGTCCCTCTTCACTATGCAGTCCATCTGCCCGCCCAAACCAAAATGGGCATTCGGCCTTTCGAACCCACCAGCCTGTGCCACCTCCTAAAAGTATTCAGCCGGAATTCATGCCGGATCCATATGGCACCCAAGAACAAGGCACCCTCAAATAAGTGAACCCCAGGTGAGAGCTGGAAAGAGGACAAGGAAAGGACAGGAAACCCGGGCGTATTCTTCCAAAAAGGAGACCCGCAGGGGTTCAGCTGGGTGTTAAACAGAATTTCCTGGCAACCACGAACAAATACAAATCACCTTCTGGCTTTACCGGCTGTGTAGAACCCAGCAACACAAAAGACACAGCCGCACACACATGCACATATACACACCTTAGTCTTGTCCTCTTTGGATCCCATTTGTCAAAGGTGCCGCATGCACCAACGAACAACCAAGAAATTCCTGCCTGTTCAAGAGAGGCCCTGCTTTTTTCTGCAGAAGACAAACTGAACTGAGAAATCCAGGTGTTTGTTCAAAAGCAAAGAAAGCCAAAAGACCCCTGCTTTGTCTAACCAACAAAATGAAAGAACCGACAAAACAACCACGGCGGCCCCTCCCAAATCTAAGTGTGTCTCCAACCCGCCGTCCACTTGACGCGCCTTCTTCACCGCTAGGTCCCGGCGCATCTTCGCCGGCAGCTGAGCCTCCAGGTCTTGGATGGCCCAGGAGCAGTTGATGACGCACACCCCGTTGGGCTTCAGGTACCGCGTCATGTCCTCGACCCGGAACCAAAAAAAAACTAATGAAACAGAACTCCTCTTGATGGCAAACATGTGCTCCATCCGACATGTGAGATTGAGAACCAAAAGGGAACCCAGAAGAAACCACTTAGATTGCTCTTGTACCGAGCAAAGATTCAGGGTTGCTCCAAAGACCCGAGATCCTGAAAAAAGGAAAGTGGCCAGTAGCACAAACGGACAGCGAAAAACCGCCACCCCCCCCCCAAAAAAAAAAACACCAATCCAAACCACCAGCAAGGGTTAGCTGAACCCTGGAGATTGCCGCGGACAATCGGATTGATCCAAACACCACCTCTGAATCAGCTATTTAATATAAGGCGGCCCGTATGTATCCTTGCTTCCCGTGAAGACAATGTTCCGTGTCGCTTTTCCCTCTCTCTCCCGCTTCTGTGCTTGTGTGTGTGGCTGTGGATGGATATGTATCACCCCATTGCGGGCTATACTTTAAGCGGCTCCTTATACTCGCTATGAAGATGTGTGTGTGTGTGTGTGTGTCTGTCTTAAATAGGAGTCACGTCCATTCAAAAGGGACACCACTTCTTCGGGTTAGCGCTGCGCCTTCTTACTTATTGCCTTTTGCCCAGGTCTGAACTGTCCTTAGGGGCACAATTCAGAAGCCTCCGCGAGGCAAAAGCTGGAAACAAATGTTGGGGGTATCCAGAAAGCGGCCCCTGCAAAATGACACTGGTGCCTCATGTTTGTTCGTATCCGAAGGGAGTCGTTTCAACTCGTATTGGCACAGCCGCCCATAGCCAGCTCATCGCTCCTCAATTGTTGGCGGTTTGGTAGTCTCGATTTGTCTTCCCCCTTATTGCCCAGGCAATTGGTCTTTTCCGAAGCCTGCAAGCCTCCCCTCTTCACACAGCACAAGCGACTCATGCATGAGCTTACTCACAGCCTGGACTTCTTCAGCATCTCAAATCCGTGGAGCATCTCTTGGGAGATCTGTACCTTTGATGTCGAAGGACGCCCGCCCAATCCATGCCGAAGCGGCGTAGTTGGCCACGTAGCTCGCCTTGTGCACAGCCAGGTAGTCGGCTGAGCGCACGTTGTACCTGAGACAACACAAAAATGTGAATTTCAAGCACGGTCACAGGCCTTACTATAACCCCCTTCAAATCAGGTTGTAGAACCACCTACTAAAAAACATAGCCAATGGAGGTTCTGGGCACTTGTCACTGTCACTTGTGCAACACCACTGTTCTTAGCTCTGCTCCAATGGTTACAATGAATTGTGAAAACGGGGGTTTGGGAAAGGGGGCCGATTGCAGCCCTTCTCGGGTGGATGCAGTTGGTTCAATCCGGAAACCAGGACAAGATTCGGAGACAGGGGGGCTTTGAATGGACCTCCGAAATGGATTGGTTCTCTTTGGCTGCCTACAATTGGCCCCAAACAGTACGAACTCCGCAAACGACACCCCCAGGCAGTACATTATATGAAAAGTGACATCCTCTGTCCTTTGAACGGCGACTTGACAACCTTGAGCACGGTTGGGCCAACCCCTTGTTGACAAATGACTATTGTCTACAATGTTTTTTGCCAACCCTGCCCCTCAGAATGTTCACTTTAAGGGACAGAAAGCAGATCAAGCCGAAGCACGGGGCATGGATGGGCTTGGGCCCAAAGCGCAGGTGGCTGATGGTGACGCCGCCGCTCTTCTTGGCATCGTACTCGAAGTAGGCCTGCTCAGACCCCAATCTAACGGGGTCTAACAAATAGGTTCCGATCGCTCGAAAGAACAACCATGTGTGCGTCCGAAGGGAACCACCCATTTGTTAGATGCTACCCAGAGGGCCCTTTTGGAGGAAGGGTCTTCCAATGTCTTCCAGCACCAGCTGGATGGGAGGGTAGCAGTAAAAATCCTCCGGCTGGACCCCAGACTTCTAAAATCTGCATGTTGATTCCAACAGCAAAGGACCGTTATCATGGTGGTTTACGTACGATTGGTGAGCTCGCCAAAAAGATATACCAGGGCTTCCCCACCTGTGTCGCGTATAGCCACCAAAACGGTCATACTCTTGCCAGCAGGCGAGTCTCCCACGTCACAAGCTGCATGTGCAACCGGGGATTGATGTGTGCTGGTTCTGAGTTTTTAATGGTTCTTGGCGTTTCAGCGTTGCATGAGCATAGGACCTCAGACATCTTGTGCCCTGGTGCACAAACCCAACACACACGAACCAGAAACGTCATTTGAACCCACCTGTTGGAGGGTGATTTTGAGGGTGCTACTTTGGGTCAAGCTGGATCTTCAAGTCCAAAGCAAAGGACCTTCAGCTTGAGCGTTCGCACTCGCTGACCGAATTGCAAATGTTCATGGGACTCCCTGGTAAAAATTCCCCAAGTCAAGGGCGTTGTTTGACCATGGCACGCCGTTCCATGCAAACTAGGGGTGCGCCGTTCAAAAGGGTGCGCTTTTTTCTGTTGGTTTCCCATGAAACCAAGAGAAAGCTGTCCAACACACCCGCATGACATGGGCACCTGCGCATAAAGCTCGGTGCCCAGCGCGATCATCTTCACCGCGCTCTTGTTGGCGCCCACGGTGCCATCGGAGCCCAACCCGTAGAACATGCACTCGGTGGTGCCCTGATGTCAAGGGCAAGTGAGGCGTGGACTTTGGCACCCTGAAGTCCCCAAGGTGACGCTTTGATGGGTTCTCAAAATTACAGTTGGGTCTCGGTGATTTTGAGGGTTGTCGCTTTGATGGACCGTCGAAGTTCTGTTGCCTTTTCCTGCCGCAGGAAACGCATGGCACATGGAAGGCCGGAGAAAGCCAGAGAGAGCATTGGAAGGCGCAAGCAAAGAGACACAAAGCGGGAAGCTGCCAGGCACAGACTTCACAAACGCCCCGAGATGTGTCCCTTGGACATCTGCCAGGCATGTCAAACAACTGTGCCATGTGCTGACATGGCGAGCAATTTCGAGGTGGTGCTCGCACTCAACAGTTGGACTATGCAGGATGCTCCTTTCTTGAACGCCGACAAGCGGATTTTCGCCCCGCTTTCCCAACAGTGCCCTCCTTTTGGGTTGTCATCTTAAAACCAAACGCAATTTGCGCCTTCAAAAAGGAGGGGTTCTCTTTTTGCCAGGGAAACAAAGTAAAGTAACCCTTTCAGGAGGAGATGTCGGCTTTGCCAAATTTCGCACTCTGGGATAAACTCCAAGCATAGTTCGGGCCGTTCAGAACCCAAAGCCAAAAGGCGGCACAAGCCAAGCTCGTGGGAGAAACGCGCCTCAGAATCCGCAAAACCCTAAGAGCCACTTCCTGAGGTTCGGATTGGCCAAAGAAAGTCCAAACTTTTTGTCGACCAAAATGTCCTTGGGACAGCTTTTCCCCTCCGTGCCTTGGGCAGCACATCCAGCCAGTCCCCAACCGGCAGCGAGAGCTTGGTGACGTCATCCGTGATGCCCACGGTGAAACGCGGCTTGGGCGAGTCCTGGCGTTCCGCGTGGCCAAAAGACCCGAAAACTCGACTCAATCCTTGGGGGCTTACCAACTCGGTTCAGGTGGGCTGGAAGCTCCACGTTTCGGCCCGCGAGAGCCGAAAAGGACCTTTTGTGTCTCTAACCTTCTCCTTCGGTTTCCCTCCCAAACAACGCGAAATGGGCTACCAACTCCAGAAAAAGACACATCCAAACGGAATGCAGTGTCATTTTGCCGAATCCAGATTTGGGACAAAGTTGGAACACCGCCAACAGGAATCCGGAAGCGCTTGGGCATTACATGTCCCCAAAGAAGGTATAGTTTGCATCGTCGAAGAAGGGCCACCCTTCCTCCAATTACACCTGGAACCCGAAACCCCTCTTTTGGGATGGCAGCAGAATTCTTGCAATGATTCCAAAGCCTAAAATCAGACTGCAGGCATGCACCATGATGAGTCATACCTTACAGATTGATGGGCCTTGTGCCTGGCCAAATCCCTCTGATACGCAGGCCTGGGCAAGGTTCTCGTAAATGGAGAGCACCATGTTGGGCGTGAACTCCTGCAACGAGCCGCCGCCGCCATGACTCCCAACCAAAAGACCCAAATATTGGAAAAGAACAACCTTGGCCATAATCAAAGTGGACCTTTCGGTCCCTTCGTCTTTTCTGCGGCTCTTTTAGGAACCACAAACACTCTAAACCGCGCGATTGGACCAGTAGTTGCGCCGGGTCACAGGAACAAAATTCCCAATCGAAAAGCCTCTCCCAAGATCATCGAAGTCACCTCCTAGTGGAGGTAGGATAATTACACAAGCGAAGAGCCCCCCAGTTTCTGACTTTGACCTTTAGAAACAGCAAAACAAACTCATGACTTCGGTACATCGCGGACTTCTTCGGCTCGCGCCGCCTTGGACCCGAGGCCGTAGCGCCCGCCAATGCACACGAGGTCGCTGCGGCTCAAGAGCTGAAGAGTCGTGGACACCTCCAGCTGCAGTGGCTCACCCTGGGAGCCCGGCTCCTAAAGTGCAGAAAACTCAGAGCCGATTCTCCGAAGGCACATAGGGCACATGCACCATGTTCTAATCTGGGTATGGAGCTGAACTCCATTCCCAGACTTCAACCCCTCGTCCACTGGCAGATCGAGAGCTGAACTCCGGGGGTTGGATCCCAAAACCCCTGCCAGTAGCCCCAATCATTGCGCCTTCCCATGTCAATCCCAAATGCTTCGTGCGAGTGACAGAATGCGCTTTCGTTTTGCGCGTCGCGGGTCCTTGGTGCGGTCCAGCACGCAAATCCTTTCCGTGGTCTTGGGCAGGGCGGCCATGAACCGCTCCCGGCTCCAGGGCCGGAAGAGGCGCACCTTTAGCACACCAACCTGGCCGTCAGGGAAGCCACAGATTTCCCCCTTACAAAAACCCGCAACATCCTCCCAATTTGTCCCAGCCCAATTTCTGGCAATGAAAATGGGTGGTGTCCGAAACATAGTGCCAGCAGTTGAGGATTACCTCGCACCCACGGTTCCCCCAATCATTTGCTCGTCCACAAAGGCCCTCACGATTCTCTCTTTCCCTTTTCCTGCATTAGAAACATTATCTGGATTTGTATATAAAAGACTAGTAGTAAAAGACATGGGGAAGAAAAGATGTGATTGCTTTTGAGATAGCTCCTGACGGCCCTTGCATTCTAAGACTGACCTTGTTTTCCCACGGGAGGAAGGGGAAATGACGGCTGCTGAGGAACAGAGATGAGTGCCATCAAGAATTTTGGTTGGATGAAGCGAAAGAGAAGTGGACAGAGAAGCGATGAAGAAAGAGGTTGGAAGGAAAGAGTGCCCAATCTCTGGTCTCTTCTATAAGCTGGCATCAGAACCTAATCCTGAGAATTGGTCGCTAAGCAAGGATTGCCCACAGAACCAAACGGAGACAAGGGACTCAACATAAAACCCTTGGAGACTTCAGAGCCTCTATGCCAGAGCGTAGAATCCCATTCGTTTACTCCCAATCATCCTAAAATCTGGGACTCACCAGAACAAACGGTGAGTGACAGGAAGTCGTCTCCCTCTCTTTGTGCCCCTTTTCTCGCTTCCAGATTCATAGGTCTTAGCGAGTAAACAGTCGACAGAGATGGGAAAAGATTTGAAAAGATGATATATGGCCACGGGTGAAAAATAGGTACCCAAAATACAACCCTGGTAAATGGCAATATGAACGAACATCTGCGGTCCCCTGGTTGTTTAACTTTGACCCGCAGCCATATTCAATAAGAAAAGTTCTTGAGAAGAGATGGAAGAGCATTAAATTTAAAACAACACGGCACGCACCCCCCCCACCCCCTCCCGGCCCCCACACACAAAAACAAAAAACAATTGCCCCGTTGGTGCATCTGCTGGCCTTCTGGCCAGTGTATGGCCGTCTCCTTCCCCCTATGCTCCTCTCCTTCCCCGCAAAGGGAACGAAACTGACATCGAAAGGGAACTCAAACGGAAACCAAAGGGGGCACAGGGAAAACCAAAAAAAAAATGGGAACGGGAACACCACAGGGAAAGCTCTGTGCCTTCTGGCCCTTCTCCTGCAGGTACTGCGCGGTCTCGCTGCATGTCACCGCGCCGCTGCCCATGACAACGATCACGTGCTTGGCCTCGAGGACAAAGGCGACCCCAGGTCCGCTAGAGACGAGGTAGGATGTCACTTTGGATTTTTCAGGCCCCCCCCCTCCAGCAAAATAGGTGGTTTCCCTTCCGGTCCTTTTCCCCCCCCAAAAAAAAAAACGGTACCCTCAAAGATCAAAGATCGACCCTTTGAAACAAAGAACGGTTTGAACAAGGGGTTGATGAAACCGTGGTTTGAACAAGAGGCAGGTTGAACGTCCGCCAACCCTGGCCTCCGGGTGGCCCTCATAGGCGTACAGCGCGTAGTGCACGCCGAGCTTCTCCTCCACCAGCCTCCCAAAACACGGACTTCGGCGTCGTGTTGGCAGGCTTCGATGTTGTTGTTGTTTGTTTTCTGTTTTTGTGTTTTTGTTGCTTTCTTGTTGTTTTCTTGTTGTTTTCTTGTTGTTTACCTGTTTCTGTTGTTTCTGTTAGTTTGGGGGGGTATGTGATTGTTATCATTTCTAGTATGACTATTAGTATTATTGCTATTATTATGTTTATCTATTTTTGGGGGGCTATGTGTGCTGCCTTTCAAGGCCGTGAGGTGGTCGGGGTGGGTCGAGGTGTCAAATGTTACAAACGCCAAAACCAAGAATGAGGTGACTCATAAAATGAGTTTTTTACGGTGTCCGAATGCTCTTTTTGTGGGGGGGGGGGGACCTTTTGGGGGGAGGGCCTCGGAGGGGAAACCCAGTCTGAAAAATGGGAACCACAAAATTTGTTTTCTGGGGTGGGCTGTCCCAAAATTGGAGGCCCAAGTTTTGGCAAGGCTCAAGACATGTGCTGGAATGTTGGGCAGAAGAGCCCAAATTGTTGCACTGGGGAAAACCCGCGGAGCAAGAGGGGATTGTTGCACCAAACTGGAGTCCCAAAAAGGGCAAAGAAGAATGTGAAACGAGCGATAGAAAGATCGAGTCTCACACCCTCTCGCTGTGCGGACTTCGCGGACTTCGTGCCTGGACTTGGCTTCAAAAAGATCAGCCAGGCCATCATAGAAGGTGTTGCCCGCCTCGCGAAAGCGAAACATCTCACATCAAGGCTTGCTCAAAAGGAGAGTCAAAGGGTCTGGAACAAACATGCACTCGTTCGAAGTACCCTCGCATCCCAACATCCAACAAGCCTTGCTCCGTTCCGAAAGAAAACCCCTTACCAAAGCAAGCTCCAAGCAGCAACCAAAGGATCGCATTCAAATCGCAGGGGAAGTATCGCTGGACTACTGCAGAACCCAACCCGAAACACGCCAGCTCCAACATTCCAGAATCCAGCGAAACCAGCTAAAGCCAGAATCCTCGCCGCTGGCTTGCCACCAAGCCCCTCCACGCCCGCCTCCACGCACTGGAAGAAAATGTCGGGGCCCTGGGAGGTGCCCTGCACGTGGGGGTGCCGAGGGTTCATCGCCAGCTCGTGGTGCTCCTTCACCGCGTCCCAGTTAATGAACCTGAAGCCCAGATCAGCAACAAAAACACTCCACTCTTCGTCTTGAAGAAGGAGAGCCACAACAGCAGGACCGTAAGATCTCAAACCTCCAGGGGCCATGCAAAAAAGGGTAGCCTATTTGTTGGTGATTTGTTGATGCTCAATGGAGACCCCCTCGAAAAAAAAGGAGAAAAAGAAGGAGACTGCTTCTTGCCCATTTTGCTCTTCAAGAAGAGGATAAGACTGGCCACACGGGTAGATCTCAAGCCAGACCAGGGCTCGGCAGCAGAAAACTAAGCAAGTACCCCTGGCTTATGAACAAATGACAGACACTACTGCATCTACTGACTGACCCTTATGTGCAAATGTGTATTGCTTCTCATACCTACCCGTTTCTCATCAGCCAAAGGAGCCTAGTTCAGTCGATACGAAGAATCAAAGATTGAGCATGCAAAGAGACGCTCTGAATCTTCTTGAGACCATTTGCACTTAAACATCACAACACCACTCAAACGCCTGTAAAGGTCCTGAGTTCATGGTGTGACATCCTCATGGTCCAACACCTTGTTTGTAGCTCCTTCGTTGGGGTGGGGGGGGGGAGCAGGAGCCGTTTTATGAAGCCAGGCCGCTGCTTCATGGTGTTGTAGTCGATGAGCTTCACCTTGTTGACCTTGCAAGGTGGATGATTGCATCGCATGCAGCCCAAAAACTAGTTAAATGTCAGTGGTTTGAAGCTATCATCCGGATGATGAAAGGCAGCTTTGCCTGGCCTGTTAAGAATGGAGTGGATTCCTAATTCATTCTGATCCATAATGCACGGTTTGGTTGTTGGGCAGGACACGGCTCAACTTTCTCCGAGCCACCTGTAAAGCTAGCTTCAAGGACTCCATTAAGAAACATGTTCCAGGAATCCAAATAGCCATGACGACTGAGGACGCTTTGGCGGACATCATAGCGGGCTTACCAGCAACCATGTACAGAAATCGAACCATTGCATTTCATATCTTGCATACAGTACTGCACCGTCCGCGCCTACCAACGTGGTTTTTCCTTGGTGCATCCAAGAGTTTGTTCGCCTCCAGTGTCGGGCTGTTTGAACTTCACCGCTGTGGTCTTTAGCAATTTTGAGGCAGGACCGGACGCTTCAGTGGGTGCTGGTGGTTGCTCTGGGTGAATGCGATTGTAGAGACTCTGCGCTAGGGCTTCTTGATCTTGGAGCTTCAAAATGCTGCTTCCAGATCAATCGCTCTGGCTTCTAATAGGGTTTAGGGTAGGCTACACAAGGAGCTGCAGCCACCGTAGTGACAGTCTCTGCATACTCCATCTTTCAGTTGACACTTCACCCATTCAAATGCCATGCCATGCTCAACATCGGTGAGCTTCTGCTTCTTCACAGGAGGCTCCGTCATGACAGACGCGGAGAGCGCAAAAATGGTAGCGCACACAAACACTATATTAGGTTGGTCTCTGTCCCTTTGAACACTATCTAAAATGAGTAGTTTCAGACGTACCTGCAGAAAAAGACAAGAAACAAGAAACTATGTGTGATCTTGGATACATGTGTTGTGATGGCAAAAACACCTGCCGATGATGTCTCTGAAAATTGGCCCCTGGCAGGTGACACTTGTCAGACAAGCAGCCCAGCCGTACAACAGCCCTTGCTTACTTTCTTGCAAGGAATGGTTGCAGAGTTGGTTCCCAAATTGGTGATCCAGCATGGAACCCCCGGTCGATGAACTGGGGCTGTCCTATCTCTCGTGCTAATGTCAGATCACTGTGTGTGCCTCCCCTCAAATTCAACCACTTTCCACTGACGTCTGATCAGAAACAAAAAACAACAAAGTTGACCAAAGCAACCTCAGCGTTCGCCTTCAACCAGCAATAACATGTTTGATTCCGGGCCATACTGTGTGAACATTATGAACCTTAAACTCTTAAAACGAGATCCCGGAAGTCAGGATCCTGCAAAAAAACTGTTCCACTTGGACTCCGCGCCTCATGGGAGGTACGGAAGCCGTCGAAGAAGTGCTGCACAGGCACGCGCCGCTCCATGGACACCAAGTGCGCCACCAGGGCGTTGTACTGCACCATCTCCACCGACTCGGAGGCCAGCATCGCCCTGCGCTGGGTACTCTGATTGTACCAGGTCGACACAGGCAAGAAACCTTCGATATATTCTTGTAAACTATACTCTGTAAAGGGAACGACATTACATACACGAACCCCAAATTGAAATTTTGAAATGGGAGTGAAACCACGAATGTGTGCTTTTGGTTTCTCCAATAATCCCTACCCCCTTTTAATAAAAGGACCCTATTAATAAATACTATTTGTCCCAGACCGCCGGGTCCCAATACTACTTTTAGAATAAGCCAATTCAAAACCAATACTAAACTCTCGGATTTCTCACCCAGACCAGCCCCAGCCTTATTAGGGGGTGGGTAATTAGTGCAGGACCCAAGCTAATTACTTGCAACAACCCAACAACAAGATGAGGTTGTTGTTTCGAACCAACTTGTAATTACACAGAGGGGCTTCCTTTGCGTTTCCCTGCCTGGCCTGCCTGCCTCCCTCAAAGCATATTTATACATACGTTTCGCCCCGGAGGCTGATTTACTAATAGGGGGGGGGGGTCTGGGTTTAATATTAGGGGGTAGAGATTAAAGTCAACAAGTCCCTCCGCCAAATTCTGGCCCCAAAACTTGGGAAATGTCCGAAACCCGTTGTTGGTTTCATGCTGGTCGTTTAGTTGTTTCCTAAAATGGCGCTTGCCAAAAAAAAATCGAAAGCGACGGGAGGTCCTTTTTGCCCATGCTCCAGACCAACAACCCCCCCCCCCCCACCCCCAGAAGAAAAACAAAGGAGAAAAAAAAAAAAAAAAAAAACGAGCCGACGGGCCATGCGGGCCGAGTTGTTGTCCGAGGCGCCAGCCCGTGGCGCGGCAGGCCATGACGTCAGAGTGGTCCCCAAAGATGGACAGCGCTTGGCCGGCCAACGCGCGCGCCGCCACGTGCATCACCTATCGAAGTCTATCGAAGTCTTGGGGTACCCAGCGCACAAAGCAAACCACAAAGATCTGGAGGCGTTCTTTTTGGAGTTCCTTCTTCACAGGGAGGAAATGGATTTGGAAACTGACATGGGTGTGGCCTTTGAGAAACTTCGAGCTTCGAAGGCCAAAGGGGTCAGATTTGCACACACGAGTCACAGAAACTGAGCGCCGGGCGCAGGGCAACAACTCTCCTGCAATCTTGTACATGTTGGGGATCATCAGCAGCAGGCCCTGACCTCGGCTTGTCTAAGGAAGCCAAGAGGGACACGCCTTAAGGATCCTGGCTCAACCACGCGCCTCTTGCGCTGGAGACATGAAAAAAGATTCCCTTGCTCTCTGTATCTGTCCACATCTCTACCTCTCTTCCAAAACAATCGCACCTCTAAAAAAATAGACTGGCCCAAGCAGAGTGCTTCCTAAGATAGGAAGACGTGGAATAGGCAACTGTTTCCTTTGAACAATGAGCTCAGAAAATGGCAGCGCCGAAAGATGTCTCCTCAAATAGGAAGGAAGTCACTATTGCTACAGTATGTCTTGCTTCGGTTTCTTCAACACCATCCAAAAAGGGGCCCTCTACTCCGAACTGAGTGCAGCTTTTGACCCAAAACCGTGGCCTTTAGTAATTTAGGCCGCTTAGGCTGGGTGCCAAAAACAACGCGACTCTCCGACCCCCTCCAAAAGCCCGCCACGAGTAGCAAAGGCTGCATCCCCACGTTTGAGAAATCGGCTCAGTGTCCAAGGAGGCTGTGGTACCCTCCAAAAACGCACCCACCCCCCAATCCCACCATCCCACCATCCCACCCCCCCCCCCGGTGCTTCCCAGGGGCTGGCGGTGAAGGTGGTGGAGAAGGCCCCAGCCTTGAGCGAGCCGTGCAGCGCCCCGGCGGCGCCTGCCTCGCTCTGCATCTCCTGAGCGCTTTCGTTGAAGGGCCCAAAAATCGCGGCAAGTGGCCCAGAAGAAGAAAGGAAGTGGTCGGTGATTCGGCTCGGGCTGAGTCTTGGCTGCCTTTTTGCGCGTGACTTTTGCAACGTGTTGTTGCCTTTTTGCTTGGTTGGTGTCCCTTTTTGGGACCTTTTTCTTGGTTGGTTGACCTTGTGCTTGAAAGCCGCCCACAAATAGGACGAGCGTCACTCCAAAAATAGATTACCATGTTCGACAAGTTCATGGGGAACTGACCATTTGGTCAGAGGGTGGGGGTTTGTTTGCAACTCAAAAAGAAGAAACGTCCTGGACCGCTTGCCCATTTGTCGGGTTGGTCCCTTCGAGCTTTTTGAACATTGGCAGACGCCTTGAAGGAAACCAAAAGGACGCCAACCATTTTGGGGGACCACTATCTTAAGACCCCCCCTACCACTTTTTGAAGAAAACCCCAGTTCAAGCGGAATGCAATAACAAAAAAAGAACGGAAGCAGCGAAAAAGTTGCCACAGGGCAGCTGGGTCTCCGTGACGCTGAGCTTCTGGCCGTAGCAGTTGATGAGGCCTGGACAACGGAAAACAGCGAGGGCATAGAAAGCGAAAACAAAACAAGCAGACTGAAGCACACATGCAAGGCATGGCAAGGCAAGGCAAGGCAAGGCATGGCAAGGCAAAGCAAAGAACAAATTAAAATACAAAGAACCAAGCAATCAATAAGTAAATAAATATATAACTACACAAAAAAGGAAGGGGAAAAACTAGCAGGCAGCTAAACGGAAAGGCAAACAAGCCAAGAACAACATAGAGCCAGGAAGCAAGCAAGCAAGCAAGCAAGCAAGCAAGCAAGCAAGCAAGCAAGCAAGCAAGCAAGCAAGCAAGCAAGCAACCAGGAAGGCAGGCAGGCAAACAAGCAAGCCAGCCAGCCAGCAAGTGAGCGAGCAAACGCAAACCAGCAAATGCGCAAACGAGCAAACGATCAAGCAAGCAAACGAGCTGCCGCGTTTTGTTGGCAAAAGCCTTGACTGCTCTTTGCTCTCGGGTTCAATCTCTTCACCTTTTCCGAGGCCAAACAGACCGATCTAAGAACATCCCCATTCTTGCATACAGACCACGATACACTGACAACTTTCAATCACAGTCGGTCCTTGGGCGGCCCATTCGTCCACCATCTCACCCATGGGAGAGCTAGGGGTGATGGGATAGATGAAGGCGCAGTCGCTGAGGGCGTAGGCCACATGCGCTGCTGCCTGGTTCCCATCGATGCAGGCGATGGAGCCCTCGTTGGGCTGGATCATATCTGTGTCTGCGCACCTGGAATATTGGGAGGGTTTGTCATGGTTTCCAACCAACAGTCGGAGAAGCTCAAGTCTTAGGAAACGGCTCGATGACCATATAACGGTATGAATCTGAATCTTAAGTGGATCGTTGGCAAACATCGGAAATACATGGTTCGATTCATGTTCACCAACCCATCTTTGAGGAGGTCAAAGGCCGCCCTTGAGCAAAAGATGTGAAACCCCGAGCCAAGGCACTGATGCACAATGGTCTTGTTCTCAGCCTTGAACATGGCTCGCTGCACCTGTGAAGCTCAGCGGGAGAATTGAAGGAAACAGCTCGGCGGAAAGAAACAGAAAATAGTCCTATACTTGAGGTCCCAAAGAAACAGCCGGGAATGGTTACATCATTTACATCTCCAAATCATGGCGAAAGGTGCTAAAACTGTGCTTTTCACTTTTCAGGCATGGGAAAGATAGCCTCCCCCGCAAACGCGCCCGGATTCCTTCTCCTCCCTCTCCATCTCCCCCCTACCCCGAAGCTTCACCCGGGCGACTCGGCTGGAGTCTGCCTCCTTGGCCTTGAGGAACTGCTCGTACTCCACGTCCGCGCTGCCGTCCCCCGCGCCCAACGCTGCCAGGCGCTCCGGGTTCTCGGACTGCCTTTCCTGCACAAAAAGGAGTTGGTCTAAGGACAACTCAATGGAATGATGCTCCTGTTACGCTGTTGCTGAGTGCCACATTGAAAAGAACATCCCTTTTAGCTCGCTCGACAAGCAGTCCTGCTACGTCAGGGCTTCATATTTCGCTTGCCTGCTTTGAAATAAGCAGGGCGTCTCCAGTTTTTGGCTTGATGTCAAGGGGAGAGGGCCAACCGGCCCAGAAGAGAGCACTGTTTGCTGCAGCAACCATGAGACGCCCTGTAAGAAACCATTTCTTTTGATTGCTGTCCGGGCCCTAAGTGACCCCGGGGCATCAGGGCCCTAGGTTTTGATGCCCAGGGCACGGGATGCCACGAATCGGGCGAGATCCTTCTGGACTTTACATTCAGAATGTCCCCAAGGCCATGGTGTTGTCAAGTGGAAATGCGACAGGTGTTGTCACCCCCTTCGGCTTGGATACCCACCCTCCAAATCCCATCCCGGCCTCCGCTGGCACCAAGCCGCCATAGGGTCCAAAGGGAGTCGTCCTCAGATTGCTACCCCCTCCAACCCATTTGCCATGCACAACGCAAAGGCTTTGTGACCATGACACAGCAAACCTGAGTCAGCGACTGCCCGCGCAATGCCATAGCAAATCAATGGGCAAAGCCAGAAACAGATGCTACACTGGGTCACTGGGTCACTGGGTCGCGCGCTTTCAAATGCTGCAGTGCAGGTACCACGCTTGAGATTTGTTGAATACACGGCAGAATGTGTTGAACGACATCATCCAACTAAATGTTTCCGTGGCCACTATGATTAGTGAAATCGGTGTGACAAAAACAAAAGTTCGTAACCTGCAAGCTCCTGGACAAACGGTTTGATCCGCGTGGTCTTGGGATGGACATGTTGCCTGGAATGTACTAAGCTGGACCAAATTTTGGCATGGTGTTGTTGACCATGTTTGCCCCTCAGAAATAAAGCATACTGCGAACACAAACTCCAAAAGTTACTACATCACGCAGACACGACCCGCCAGTGCCGCACCCCCAATCTCAAGCGACACAACGAACGCAAACCTTTAGCTGACAATGGAGCATCAAACCTCCTAGTGGGAATTTCCGCAGCTTGCAAATCCTCGAGAACACCCGGAATGATGGACAATAGATCCGCGCATCGCTTGGTTGTGTTCTGTACTGCTATGGGTTCAGCGGTGTTGCGCAGGATGAAATCAACGCCCAGGCTGCTGGTGACCTCCTGATTTGCGCAATTGTTCAGGGCGAACCAAATGAGGACACAAAGGTCAAGTTGGGAGGTGAAAATTTCTCCACCGGACCATCCCTCAAGAAATTGCTCGGATGGCTAAATATATGACTCCACCATGTTGACACTGTCGGCCATGCACTCAAAGGCATGAATGGCAGCTTGGAACCCGGGCCCATGAAGGCCACAAGTGCACGAATGGCGAACAGTTTTCGAAGGAACTTGAGGTCTGCATTGAAGCCAGGCAACTAAAGGGTTAAGAATTGCCTGGAACTCCTCCGAGTCGCAAGAACAAAAACCAATTGGGCAATGCCAATGGTGTCAGGGTTGCACAAGACCGCACCGACAATAAAGGGCAAGAGGTTCTCAACCTCACTGCTGCTGATGCGCGTGATACCACGATTGGGATGATACACAACACCAAGGGTACCTTCGATGGCTTCAAGGAGAAGTGGATTATCATCGTGCACCACAATGAGCCCAACAAGGCGAAGCCGGACACGAGCCCCATGAGCTTGAAGATCAAGCGACTTACCAAGGGCTGCAACGAGTGCTTTGGCGATTGCTGGGTCAGAGGAAACAGCAACAATGTTGAGTGGATGCGTGAGCCGTTCACACGGGGGGTCAGGCAGGCAGAGCCAGGTAGTGTCAACGAGCGGATTGACAGGGGCTCTTTTTGGGTATATGCGTTGCTTACCAATCCCTAGGCCAGTGAGTTGACGCGCATACCCTAACGGAAGGAGGGAAATAAGGGTGTCAAGCATGTCGAACACACTTTGGTCAGCGAGGTGGGGAATACTATCAGTGGCTTCAGCTACAACTTTTGGAGTGAGCGATGCATCACAGTAACCAATAGCAACCTCAGCAGCAACAGCCTCGAGAAGGACTTGCCTAGGATGATCACTGCTGTCAGTAAGCCGCCAAGCGCCGAAAGCAAGGATGCGAAGGGTGACATACAGTGTCCGCAGGTCAAGCTGTTCTTTCCCTCGATTGCATGGGACATCAGGAGCTGGGATAGTGGTATCACATGTGACGTCATCGTCGAGGAGGCGAGCTGGTGTGCTGTTATCAGCGGCAGGTACACGTTCAGAGTTGATCCTGTTTTCAAAACAGGTGATGCCAATCTCCTGGGTTGCAAGGGCAGGAAGCAATTCCTGAATTTGACGAAGACTGCCATAAACGTAGAGCATACCACCTTGGTGCCAACCAATGTAAACGGTGGATGAGTCATGAAAGAGAGCAACGCGATCAGACCCCTCGACCGAAATGCGGCACATTATCAGCTGGTCAGGGAGGATATCGTCTACGGAGTACAGCGTGCGTCGTGTCCAACGCCTTTCTGTGTCATAGGAGACATGCATTTGTGTAAAGACTTCTTCCTCAATTCCTTCAGCGCTGCATGGCAGTGCAAGGACATGAACTGGAGATTCAAGGAGGAGAGCCTGAACATTAATGCGATGACTGCCACGTAAGTTGACACATCGAGCATTGAGACACAGCCTCTGAAACTGGGAGATGTTCTCTGGATCGGGAACCACAACAACAGGCATTCGTGACCCAGAGGTAGAGCCAGCAAGTTGCCTGAATCGTTCCCAATGTCCGGTGGGAGTCTCGAGAGTGTTGCGCTTGGTTTATCGCATTCCGAGGTCACTGGGCGGTTATAGGAAACATGCACTGCTCCAACCTAAAACAACCCAACCCTTGATACGAACGAGACGCGCTCTCCTTTTGTAACCGGGTTGCGCTGGAGTCTCTAGCTGACGCAGAGCGGTGCACTGCCGTGCGCGGCTTCAGCTAGGGAAGGCTCTATTAACCCCCTGGTGAAACGTATGCATCACGCTGGAGTTAAATCCTCGATTGATTCTTCGCACGGCGGTGCCGAGGAGTTGTAACGAACCTTAGCTGGGATTCCTGTGGATTGATTCCTAGGGTTGTCCCAGAGCACTGCGGTGCTTGGCGCTGCGGCGCCAGTTTGGCTTGGCTGTCAAGCCAATGTGAGGGCACTTAAGTGCCCTGAACAGCGGTCTGTACACAGCGGTGTAACATGGAGAGGTGAATGTACCTTAGTGCGCGGGCTGCTGGACGCTGCGGCGTCGAGCAATTGATCTCGGCGCCTGGCCCTGCGGAGCCGGGCACCAGCCACTGAGTGGCGCGCGGTTTGACGTCCTGTGCCTTAGTACCCACAGTGAGTGATCATTGCGGCACATAGAAGGCTCGCGGCTTGCATGCGCTTGTGCGAGCACAAGAGTAAAGCCGCTTGCCTTAGTCAGAAGGGAGGGTGGGTGGGTTTCAAAAAATGGAAACCGCATGGTTGTTTAGCCTGGAGCAGAAATGGCCACAAGCGGTGTAGATTCACATGTCCCTATAACACGGGGGAACAAACAACCCCTAGCGTTATAGGAAACATGCACTGCTCCAACCTAAAACAACCCAACCCTTGATACGAACGAGACGCGCTCTCCTTTTGTAACCGGGTTGCGCTGGAGTCTCTAGCTGACGCAGAGCGGTGCACTGCCGTGCACGGCTTCAGCTAGGGAAGGCTCTATTAACCCCCTCTTTAGTGTCCAGCGCAACCCGGCCTTCGCTAAGCTCCCCCACTTCAGAGCGGGTTGCGTGAGCCTGGCGTCGCGACATGTGGGAAAATGTAAAGGCGCGCAAGCTGCCTTTGTTTTCATTTAACTGCACAAAGGCGCGCTATTTGTCCTGTGCTGGGCTGTGCTCAAGCAGCTGTGCAAGGCAGTGTGGGCTGAAATCCCCCTGTGGCAGCGCGGTGCTCAGGTCTCCACGGTGCATCGGCAGGATCAATCGTCGGCTCGAGTCATTGATATTTTCAGGGGTAAAGCGGCGCCGGTGCTGAGACTGGTTGGCAAAGCGTGACAGCCTGTCTTGGCTGAGGTCATCGGCCCACCCATTGGCGGAGCCGGCAATGTGTGTTGGCTGCAACACCACATTGTGCGAATGCGCCCAAGACGCGATGAGCTGCAAAAAGACCTGCATAGGCCAGGACGTAGTAAACATTTTGTTAATGTCGGCTTCTGTTGCCGAATTATCGGTGCCCGATGGCAACGTAAAATGATAGTGTCCCTGGCCTGAGGTTGCATGGGCTATTTGTAGTAATGCGAATTGGGCAATGGTCTCAAAGCATGCTATATAGCGCTGTGCTGGCTTGGTCAAAAAAGGCCAAGTTTGCCGAATGTCCGACATGGACCATGTTTCCCCAAACCATGCAAATGCGTTGCTGGTGAGGAACCATCCGCCTATCCCCACGGTGTCTCCTTCTGCGCAAGCGTCAGCGGCTGCTAGGCAGGGCAACAATGGTGGCATGGCCAGAGGAACAGTCGGGGCCAATTGAGACAAAACTTACTGTCTTTGCGTAGGGTGACGGTGGGTGAGTTTGGGTCTGAGATCCTAACCCATGTTGGCTTATGCGATGCTGGCACGGCGGGCAGGTCGGCTCTGCAACGCACTGGCTTCCCTGAGCACTCAATAACTTTAGCGAGTGTCGGGATCCACAGTCCTGGCACGGCGCGTGTCGCGCGACCTGTAGAGTCCAAGCTGGAAAGGAGCACATGCTCCCTGGAGGGCTATGCAAGTCAGAGTACAACGGGGCAAGCCAAGGCCGCAAATGCTTGGAGATGCTGGTCGCCCAGATTAGCAGGCCTGGGCATTGTTCTAGGGCCTTCCGTGGTAATTTATGGGCTTGGCTCAAGTTTTCCAGCTGCTGACACAGCTTGTCTAACTTGGCTTTCATCAAATGTATAGTGTCGTGGCCAAAATGCACTGACCACCCGCACCAGTTGATCTGATCCTGAAACTGGGCTTTTTTCCAGGAAATAGGGGCGGAGATGGCACGCCAGCTGATCTGCACAAGGCTGCCAGCAAGTCATCCACGAAGAGCCAGGCTTTGTGTGGTAGCATGGCTAGCAGGCCGTGCATTAGGCGCAACATAAAGGCACCTGTCCGTTGCCACCAGAAAGCGGAGAAGCGGCCACCAAAGTGGCATACGCGGTAATGGTAAAGTTCGCCCAGAAATTTGAAGAGCAAGAGGCCATGCTCGTCAGGGTGAACTTGAATTTGTTTGCGCGCGGCTTTGAAGTCGAAGCTGGCGCCGATGAAGGCGCTGCGCGCGTCTTTGCAGTGCGTGGCAAGGCACAAATCTGAGGCCATTGGGAGGCTTACCTGTTCTGGCAAATGGCACCGTGGGTTCGCGTTGCACACCGTGCTATCCAAGACAAGGCGTGGCTCTTTATTGTCTGCAAAGACAACGTTAAGCTTTCCCACGGCCACTCCCTTTGGCCAGCGTACATGAGCTTCGGTTTCGGCGCAGTGTGCGCGGACTACCCATCCGCTAGCAATCTCTTTTTCCAAAAGAGCTTTAACTACCTCTGGTTGGGATTCGGCGTTTTTCCAATTTTGGTCGCAGATTTCAAAAGGCGGCGCTGCGCTTTCTGAGTTTGCCTTGAG